TCTTTGAGGTCATTAGGCGTTGATGATCAGAGCCTAACTTTAACCTTTTGATAACTCTGATTTAAGACCGATATTGCGTATAGACGCCAACACACACGCACGCATACACTCGAGCAAAAGTAGCAGGACAAGTATGAAAGATAATTAGCCAAACCACTCTATATCCATATCTAGGGTTTAATTTTCTTTTGGCTTAGCTTAGTCTATATAAGAGGTAAGAAAAAGCCGGATAGTCTTCTTGGCCTAGTGTTAACGTGAGACTTACAAGAATGAGACCTAGCTCTGATGATGTCCATCATATCATGGACGAAAGCTCAGCATGTTTTCACCCAAAACGAGGGAGGAAGTCCCGTGGACTGCGTCAACATGAATATCGTATAAAATCCAACCGGCTGCAAAACAACGAATTTCATCCGTACTCATCTGGTGAGATCGACCAACAAATCTATTCTTCATGCACTTTCATACGAAATAAAGGTCCCTTAATAATTAACTACAATACAATATTTTAGATACAAAGAGAAACTGGGTTTCGATGAATCTCTTGAGATAACATCACAGGCTTAATCTCAGGTTCTGATCCTCAAGACCTAATGACCAAAGAAAAATCCTTGACCGAGACTACGTAAGTCTCTAAGCAAGTATGGTTGATATAATGAGATATGAGTTTGTAAGCATGAAAGTCTAGTTACGAAACCACTTGCATTAACCTTTCAATCTGGGGTCATTAACGCTTAACCCTCCAAGTAAAGGCAAGGTTATGATTGCGTAAACTGACATGTATGATTTGGTGGATAAGTTTACTATAACGTTTTGGACAAATGTGAGTGAAATTACAACCATCACTGAGCAGACAAAGTTAATCCCCTTCTTTTTGACGGCCACTCAAAATCCTCTCTCTCTTTCAATCTATCAATCAAGCATAAGTAATTCCTACTCAAATCTCTACCACCATTCCTCACATTCAATGTATTTCCTAAGCTATTAATTTCAAAAGCCTCTCTTATCTTTCTTTTAACCACAAACGTACCATAATTAGCAAGCATACTAGTTTGAGAACATTCTATTTCATGTCCAGTTTCTATCATATGCATGGCCACTTCTGACCGTTGGATACAGATTCCTTTGCAAGTAATTTTGTGTGAACATTAGGTTCACGATGGAAATGGAATAGAATAAGTCCTTACCTTTTCTAGATGTTCTCATCATTAAGGAAAAGATAAGTTAAGAAGAGATGTTTATAGAAAACCAACCTATGTTAGCTCTTTGCTTAATTTTTTTACCAACCATAGTTACAAGACTAAGGTTGACATTTTGCAGTCAACGATTCTTAGAAGTATGAGGCTAGCGGATAGCAAACATTTGACTAAAGAGTTGCAACGGCTGACAAATATATTCCTGGGAAATAATTATCCTTTGGGTCTTATCGAGAATAATATCTTTCTATTAAGAAATAAATTTTCTGATGGAGACCATTTATTCAAAGATAGACAGACTGAGACATTTTCCCGTCATGCCTTCTCTCAAAAAGGATAGGCGAATTAGTAAAGAAGTGGGGCATTAAAAAAGTGTTCAAAGAAACCCTCACACTATCTTATGTTATGGCATCTTCTAGAGAGAAATATCAGTCGTCATCGAGATCCGGCTATTACAAGATTGTTTGCTCATGTGGTCGACGTTATGTTGGTCAGACATGCAGACCTATTCGACAAAGATTGATAGAACACAAAAATGCATGCAAAGGTAGCTGGATCCAACGGCCAGAAGTGGCCGAACACATGGTAGCAACTGGAAATGAAATAAAACTGTCTCAAACTAGTAGGTTTGCTGATTATGGTACGTCTGTGATTAAAAGAAAGATAAGAGATGCGATTGAAATTAATAGCTCAGGAAATACATTTAATGTGAGGAACGGTGGTAGAAAGTTGAGTAGGAATTACCTATGCTTGATTGATAGATTGAAAGAGAGAGGATGTTGAGTCGCCGTCAAAAAGAAGGCGATTCAATTTGTCTGCTCAGTGATGGTTCTACTTTCACTCACATTCGTCCACAATATTAGAATAAGTTCATCTAGCAAATCATACATGTCAGATTACACAACTCTTGGGTGGTTAAACGTCCATGACCCTAGACTGAGAGTTTAGGACAAGTGGTTTCTTAACTTGACTTACATGCTTAAAAGTTCATATCTCATTATATCAACTATACTTGTTTACGGACCTACGCAGTCTCGTTCAACGGTTTTTCTTTGGTCATTAGGTCTTGATGATCAGAACCTGAGATTTAATCTTTGACAACTCTGATTTAGTAACCGTGTTGCATATAGACGCTAACACGCACAAATACACATATTCATACAATAAAGCAAAAATAACAGGACCAGTATGAAAGATAATTAAGCAAACCACTCTACATCGATCTATCTAGGTTTTTAATTTTCTTTTGGCTCAATTGAGTCTATATAAGAAGTAAGATAGAACCGGATATTGTTCCTGCTCTCGTGTTAACGTGAGACTTTTATAGAAATTAGACCCAGCTCTAATGATGTCCATCGAATGATGGACGAAAACTCAGCACATTTTCACCCGAAACGAGGGAGGAAGTCTCGTGGACTGCCTCAACATGAATATCGTATAAAAGTCATATGGCTGCAGTATAACGAGAATTATCCGTCCTCATCTGATGAGATCGACCAACGAATCTCTTCTTCATTAACTTTTATAGGAAATGCAAGTCCCCCTAACAATACAATAGGATTATTCAACATTGTACAACTAAACAGTTTACCCATCGACATTGCAGTGATTTTGCAAGAGTGAAATAGCAAAAATATTTTGAGCTCCTACAAAGTGCTAACATCACCCATGGAATCATACTGGGTAGAGAGTAGAGGATATAAGAGATTAAATAATTAAACCTTGTTCGTGTAGGCTAGAGTAAAAAATAGTCAAGTAAGGATAAAAGTTGAAATGCTAATTAGGCGCCTCTTCTGAATAATTGTAATAAACATCAAGTCAACAAAAATAATGCACAATGGGCGAGAACAAAAATAAAACAAGTAAACTGAAAATGATATTATATTTCGGATTAAAATAGCTTAGTTGGCCATTGCTGAATCAAGAATAGAGTCCAACTAATTAAATAAAACAAAGAATAACTCTTAACTTACCATCAAGAAGTACTTAAGTTGAAGAATAAATTTAAACTCTAACCTCTCCCAGATAAAAAATCTCTGTGGGATTCGAACTTATGGCTGGCAAAGCAGACCGTACGCAAATCGAATGTGCAACGAGTACTCGATTATTTCAGCCGCTATTTGAGGAATGTTGAGCAATAATCCCTTAAATGTAGCTTTTGTAAAAGGCTTTTTTTAGAAAGGGGAGTAAACGCAAAAAAACTTAATATCTTTTTCAAGCAATAGGCACCATATTATATAAGAATATACATTCATAAAGTATTGTCGGGACTTTCATTTCGTATGAAAGTGTATGAAGAAGAGATTCGAAGGTCGATCTTACCAGAAAATAACCGTCTAATCCAGTTGCACTGAAGCCATTTAGCTTTTATACGATGTTGAGATTGATGCAGTTCGCGAGACCTCTCTCACGTCGTATAAAAGCCAAACGACTGCAGTACAACGGGGTTCAAAGGTCCTCTTCTGGTGAGATCGAACTTCGAATCTCTTCTTCATACACTTTTATACTAAATGAAAGTCCCAACAATAATGTTATCTCAAGATATTCATCAAGACCCAGTTACTCTTCACATTCATAAAGTATTCCTGAGCATAATTTTAGTGAGGTCGTTTGTCCCAATGATAACTATATAATTATGCAGTTGCATGCTTTGGGTTCATTAATTGGAAGAGCCGGCAAATTAGCGTATAAGGGCAACGTATGGCCTAAAATTAATAAAGTTTGCGGAGACTCAAAAAGCTCTAAATGTTTGCGGATTGGTAAGGGATTAACGGAATATACAGCAAAACTAAGATTTGGACAGAATAGCTTGTACTATCGAAGGTATAAAGACCATGTGAAGGCTTCATGTCGCTCAAAGGGGCACAACGCTATCTAAATAAACAC